GCCGGGCCAAGGCGGAGCCCATCAGTGATGATGGTAGCGCCTCTGGGATAACATGTTTAAGAAGGGGGGAGAAAAAATCCTGTGCAACTGCAGCAGGAGACAGGAGTAAGAATACATCAGAGAAACAACTCTGCAGACACCAAGGTCAGTGAAGAAGGAGGGGGAGGAGGTGCTCCAGCTGCCACAACAGAGATTCCTCTGCAGCCCATGGAGCAGATCACGGTGAGGCAGGCTGTGCTCCTGCAGCCCATGGAGGTCCATGGTGGAGCACATATCCACCTGTAGCCCATGGAATTGACCCCACACCGGAGCAGGTGGATGCCCCATAGGAAGCTGTGACCCCGTGAGGAGCCCCATGCTGGAGCAGGCTCATGCTAGGACCTGTGGACCCGTGGAGAGAGGAGCCCACACCAGAGCAGGTTTGCTGGCAGGGCTTGTGACCCCGAGGGGGACCCACGCTGGAATCAGGGTGCCTGTCACCTGCAGCAAGTGCAGCATGTGCCCCGTTCATGGAGGGGACAGCAGTGTCCCCTCTCCCCACGCTGCGTTGGGTGTCCCCATGCGCCTCCAGTACTGGAAGAAGTGGGAAAACAGTGACTAAGCCATCTGTTGAAAGGCTCAAGCTGCCCGTTGCTTGGTGGCCTTTCTACAGTGGCTCTTGTGTATCTATGCTGTCACCTGAAGCCATTTTATTTAGTGCTGGTACCCAAACTCAAGGCTGTGTGGCTTTTCCTGAGCTCTGGTCATGCACAGCCAGCCCTGTCTCACTGCCAGACGTGGCCCTGCCTGTCCCTCACAGCTGTGTCACCCGGGGCTCGGGGCAGATCGTTGCCCACCCAGCGCAGCGGCAGGCTCTGTGGGAGCAAATTTAGGGCCATCGGTGCTAAAATTGCCTTTTCCTGCCGGCAGAGCTGAGGCAACGGCCCCTCTCCCATGTGCAGGGAGCAAAGCCGTGCTGCTGCCTGCAGCAGCCGCCAAGCATGGGCCAACGCTGAGCCGCTGGCCTGTACTGCATGTGGCCAGTGTGAAAAAAATTAAGTATGTAAAAAAAATCTTCAATTTTCTCGTCCCTGAGCTGTTTTCCTAAACAGGGAAGAAGTCGCCGCCTTGCCTCTCCACGGGGCCCTTGGCTCGGCCTCTGGGGAGGCTCCGGCTACAGCAATGTGCTGGCAGCCCAGGGTGCCCGCCGGCGCCCAGGGAGCCAGACCGAGCCCGAGCGTCTGTTTCAGTGCGTTTGGTTTGAAGCAGCCCAGGAGCAGCCAGCTGAAGCTCACCTTGCTGGAGGGGAGCCTCAGCTGCAGCTGGAGCCCCCAGAAAGCAGCAAAATAGTGCTGAGATCTTTCGCAGTGCCTGGAGAGAGGAGAGGCCAGCTCCAAGCCAGTGCCCCGCACTGTGCCCACGTGCCCCAGCTCGCTCCTGCCCAGCCCTGCGGGCTGAGCCCCAGGCAGTGCAGGGGACAGCACTGGCAGCCCCCGGCTGTGCCCACGCTGGTCTCACCGGCCAAGCCACGCAGCCCTGTGGCCCAAAAGCCAGGAGGGAGGACAGGGTGGCAACTGCTCTGGCAGAGCCAGAGCCTGTTCCTTCCCTTCCCTCAGTGGCTGTCTGACGCCTCAATCTAGGCCCCACCAGAAAGTCTTGTCTCAACTGTAAACATAGCCATTTTGCAGCCTCAACAACCTCCCTCCCTGTTCCCCTTCGGAGGCTGAGCCCACTACCTTGCAGACAAGGTGCACCCCAGAGCCGCTGGCAGGGATGGGTGGGGAGCAGCCTCCTTGGGGGAGAGACCTGGGACGTGAGCAGATGGTGGCAAGGGGACAGATGGGGTGGGTGTCCACCTCCTCAGCAGGGACCTGCTGCACCCCTGCTCGGAGCCGAGACGCTTGGCTTTGCTTTGCACCAGCACAACTGGAGGTGCCCCCTCAGCAGGGGATGCTGATGGGCAACCTTTAGGCAATGTTTTGGTGCACGACTAAGGGCAGAGAGGGTGTTTTGGGGGCAAAAGGGCTGCAGCAAAATGGCTTCCCTCACCCACTGTCCCAGTATGTTCCTGGGCACCGAATCGTGGCTTGTCCCAGGGCAAACACCTGCAGACCCCGTGCCCGGCCCTGCCATGCAGCCCCCTGATCCATCCCAGATAAACATCAGTGCCTGGAGCTGGGCCTCAGCACAAAGGCAAAACCACCACTCCTGGCTGCCGGGGGAGATGCTGAGCTACGGCACAGTACCATGCGAAGCATCAGGGAAGGAGGTCTCTGATTATGGAAGCCTGGCTCAGATGTGTTCATGGATCTGTCATTTCCTCTCCAACACCCCAGCTCTCTCACCACAGCTGCACCCCGGTTTGCCTCTGTAGGAGGTCTGACACTACTCACTCCATCCCTGAGCCAAGGAAAGCCTTCCCTTGGATTTGGAGGGGCTTTGGGACACAAGACCCAACCCCAGGCTTCAGAGACAGCTCTGGTTACCATGTCCAGCACAGACCAGCATGAAAGTTCCGTCTCGTTTTTAAGGGTCTCTGGGGCAGGGAATGTTTTTGCACTAGTCACTAAAACAAGGAAGAAAACCAAAGGCACAGCCAGGTGAAAATCTCAGTAATACCTAGGGCTGAAAGACTAAAAGGTCACCAAACATCTCCTTACTGTCACAGAGAACCAAAGCTGGCTGCATGATGCCAAAGTACCATCCAAATCTCCAAGCATAGTTTGGATTCCCAAGCAATAACCATGTGGAATGTATTCTTAAGCCTATGTACACCAACCTCCGTTCTCCTATTAGCGCTGCCTTCCTCATCCTTTTTTTCTTCAGGCATGGGAGCAAGCGGGAAGCCACCTTCACTGCTGTCCTCCTTTGAGTGACGCTTCCATGACCTTCTCATATCTTCCTCTGGACTACTGAAGTCATATTTGCGGGACCTGAATGCTATTTTCATGGACCTGTCTGGGTCTTCCTCACTATTGTTTTCCTCCATGCGCTTCTTAGATGTCAGCTGCTTGGCCAGCTCATCCATTTTGTTCCACCTCTTGGAGTCTTCCCACTCCCTGGAGGACTCCTCCTCCATCTCCTCGCTTTTTGCATCCCTGGGCTGGAAGGTGTCCTCCTCCCCTTGCATCCCCTCATCCTCCATGCGGTGCCTTCCTCCTCTCAGTGCCCGGGGCTGCTCTTCCTCCTCGTCCTCCTCAGAGCTCCGCTCGTCTTTGCCAAATCCCAGAGCATCATCATTATCTGAAAAAGCATTAAACACAACAGTGAGCACAAGTGTTTACCTGGTTTCACTCTACCTTTGAACCAAGCCTTCAGGGGTGATGCAATGTGGGTTTCCTGACTTCAGCCCATTTTCCCAGGATTCTGGAAACAGACACTCTCACATTGCCATGTCAGTAACAGGGCTTGGAGGCAGCAGTCAAAAACTACATAGGAAGTTCAAGAAAAAGAAATTAGTTGTCCCCAGGTGCTACGAAAACTGAGCAGCAGGCAGTGAGGCAGCCTGTGCGTGGGCCCACACAGTCAGGTGCTTTTGAGGGGGGATCTGGGTGGCTGTCGGCACGGGTATTTCTGTAAACCCGGTAAGCACCTGCCTGAACTTTTAGGCTTTAAAGCCTCTTATCTGTCTGTCTCGGTGCTCTCAGCTCACCCCAGGTAGGAATCAGTGCAGTTGGCTGGGATACGTACTGTCGTCTCCCTGCATCTCCTCAGCCTCCTCGTCCTCCTCAGCCAAACCAAATGACCTCTCTGCTTCTGTAGGGTCCTCCTCTGCAGTATCATCTCCTCCATCATCCTCCCGCTCCACACGGTCCCCTGCCGCCTCCTTGCTCTCCTCCTGGCCCTGCCTGGATGGCTGCTCTCCCTCATCCTCGAGCTCCAGGCTGTCCCTGGGGCCTCTGGGCTGCTCCTCTTCATCCGCTTGCTGCTGCTGCTCGTCCTCGCTGAAGTCTTTGCTGATGTGGTTGTCCAAAGTTTCGGTTCTCTGGGCATCCTCTGCACCCTCAATCTCGTTGCTCTCCACTTCTTTCTGATCCTCCTTCTCTCCAGGGTCAGCATCTCGTGGCCTGGGCTCCCTCTCCTCTAGGCTGTTTTTTCCCTCCTCTCTTGAATCTTCATTTTGCTGGGTTTTCTGTGCTGCCAGAGACCCCACGGGCTGCTCCCCTTCAGGGCGCTCGCCTGCCGCATCTGCAGAGGGAGGAGCAAGAAGCAACACCTCTCCTGAGAGCTCATTTCACAAACAGCGAAGCCCATGCATTGCTCAGGGAGCTTCAGCCCCGCTCAGCAATCTGCTTAACCAACCCATGGATCCTTTCGTAAGTCACTTCCACATATGCTTGTGTTCAAGCAAGCCGATGCTCTCACTGGTGCCTGCTCTCCTGGAGAGAATCACAAGGCTGAACTCAAACATATGCTGCAGTGCTTTGCTGCGGCACAGTCCTCATCACCATCTCTTGAGATGCCAGTGACAAACTTGCCCCGCATGAAACCATATCGCCCATAAAATGAAAGGATTTAGGAGTGTAATAAGGCACTTGCACAGCTCTCCCTGCTCTGGGTGCTGTGCTGACATCGCATCCTCATGTCTCCCACTGGGTTGAAGAGGGAGTCAGCACAGCTGGAGGAAGCTGGGGCCAGCTCTGCGTCTGCAAAACAACCACTCAGCAAGAGCTTAATGTGGGCTGGGTATTTGCTCTTCCTCATGTCACAGACTGGCCTCTTTTAACACAATCAGTCAGCCATAGAAATCACTTTGCAAAAGAAAAGATGGAGAGAGGGAGGCTAAAGAGCAGTGGGAAAAGCCAGATGGGTGTGGAAAGGCGGGTGCAGCCCCAGTCAGGGGTGAGGGGGTGCAGAGCTGGACACACAGGGCTGGTGACAAGCAGTGACACCGTGCTGGTGTCACTGGGCTGCCTGCGGGCCTGGATGGCCCGACACACCATGCTTCATCCTCGTGCAGTCTCCACACTGCTGCAGCAGGAGGTTCGGGTCTGCCCTGGTAGGAGGGACAGCCAGAGCCACCCCTCCTCTCCACTGGCTTTTGGCTGTGCTGGCTGCAGCAGCAGCCCCCGGGGGAAGCTTTGGGCTGACTGCATAGCCGTGGCTCAGCCACACGGCCCAGAGCCCACTCAAGACCTTCTGTAGGGGTTTCGCTGCTGCTGGACAAGAAACCATCTCACCTCACATTGGCATCGTCTCTTCCTGACGTGGAAGAGGGAAGGGGCCGAACCCTCCTTTCCGCTACATTGCCTGTCTCTAGCCAGGCCATAGAAACCTAGTGACAAGGGGAAATCCCAGCTGAACGTGGTCTTTCCAGGTGTTTTTTGTGGGTGTGTGTGCTGTGTATATCCCAAGTTCAATTTTCCCCTCAGAGACCCATAACCTAGTATCTCTGATGCCTGGAAAAAAGGGTGGCAGGAGCAGACCCAGATCACGCTTGCCTATATCACTGAGTCTCTCAGGACAGGGTTTCCCTGGCTGTGACTCATTTTAAGCATTAGGAGTGAGTGCTGGCTGTTGGCAGTGCATGGAAGAGATCAGTATCAGCTTGGTAACTTGACCATCACCATAGCTATAGCTCAGAAATGACATGTCGTTTAAGCTGGTAAATAAGAACAAAGCAAACACCAGGTTGCTTGTGTGTGTCAGCTGCAGCATCAAAGATGGCTAAACGAGAAGCAGATGGACTTATCAAGGCTGCTAGAAAGAACATCCTTGTTTACGGTCTGACCTGGATTTCCTGGGGGGGGGGCGAGTGG